ATAAATAAAATAAATAAATAAATAAATAAATAAATAAATAAATAAATAAATAAATAAATATACTGATCCTTACTTAAACCAAATGTATAACTATCTGTTTCTAATCCTTATTGGTATACTGTACTTATAACTACCTATGTGCCTGTTTGCCACCTTCCACAGATTTTTTATCTATCATTACTATGCATTTGCATAAATTCCTCCTTTGCGGCCAGGTTTAAAGTGCCCACACTTATGTAAAGTAATAGGCTTAGTTAGCCCTGTCCTCAGCTACTCTCTCCATTGTGGATTGTGGGGAAAACTCTCAGCTGGAGTTACAGCAGCTCTTAGCAAAGGTCTAGTCACCTTAGGTTTAGCAGGCTTCATTGCTGGCTGGAATTTTACTATTTTCACCCAATGACCCATGGCTGCCACCCTGAACTGCTGGGTGGATTTTAGCATCTCACACTTCTTCACTTGTTGACTGGGAGGGGAAAGATTCATTCTAGCTGGCAGCTGACCGTTGGCTGCCATTTCTGGAGGAATTAGCATGGCTAGTATCCAAATTCCACCCTACTTTTCTTACACTGCTGTTCAACTGCTGCACACTACATACACCAAGCCAACTTTGTCCTGGCACTTCCTTCTCTCTCACCTGCAATCCTGCCCCCCCCCCCAGTTCTGCTATGCTGCTGCCTCGTGGTGGGGAGGTGTTCCTGGGGGGGATGAACAAAGAATGTTGGGATGTACGCTGAGAGTATATTTTCCCAGCAGGGTCATCCAAGGTGTGAAGGTCATCTCAGCTGCCCGGCTAAAGCAAGCAGGCACCTAGACTGGGCAGCGACGATATAGGGAGATGCCAGAGGCAGATGACCACTTTAGCAACAATGGCAATTAATTCATACTGCGCAGGCGAAGGCAATGGTAAACCAGTCCTGTATTTTTACCAATAGAACCACATGGATAGAAAATATAAAATGATTGGCCATATAGTGCTGGATGATGGGCCCCTCAGTCAGATGGCACTCAACATGCTACTGAGGAACTGCTGAGGATCTTTCAGAGTACTAATGGTATTTATGACATGGCTAGATTAAAGCCTTCAGGCATCTAGTTGCTGGTGTTGCAACAACACACACACAATCTGAAGCTGCAAAGACAGAATTACAGTAAGGACATAGAATGTAAGAAGCATGAACATAGGAAAGTTCAACACAGTGAAAGATGAAATGAAATTACTACAAATTGACATCTTAGGCACCGGTGAATTGAGATGGACTGGGATTGGACACTTTCAGTCAGAAAATCACACTATATGACCACACCCTTCCCTTCTCAACATTCACACCCAAGTGCTGAAGGCATCCTCCTCTTATAGCTGGGCACAGGCGTGATCCAGCTATTCCTTCTGTCAGTTGGGAGGGAGAAGGGAAGGAAAGGATGGATTTGTACTAACCATTGCAACCCCCTTGTCCATTTGCTAAGTCCAAGCAAAGACATAGCCTCTGTCCAGGTTCAAAGAAGACAGATAATTCCTATGGCAGCCAAGCTTCATGTGACACTTGAAGTAGTACTTATCACCCTGTTTTTTTGAAAACATCACAACTAGGAGCCAGATGCACGATATACATGATCCGGCTGCACCAAAGGGGTCTACTGTATTTACATAGGTCTTTAAGTAAAGGAAGTCCAGCCTCTGGATAAATACAGATGACACCAATTAGCCCTGATTCTCAATGCAAACTACTCCCAGTGAGTCTACCCCACCTGTTCCAGATGCTTCTTTTTCTAGCTGTGTATTCCTATGCCTCCCTCCTCTCTTACTCTCATGTAAGTGTCAATATTATCATGATTTCTGGCTCAGTATTTGAGTCAACCAGACTAAGATACAAAATGCTAGGGCCAGATGCCAGTCTTTCATTTTTTGGTTAGTCTTTCTCTCTTAGTCTCCTAAGTGTCCTGTCTTGGTCCTTCTCCTCATTAGAAAAGGGGTCAGCAGCTGAGGGGATAACAACATCAGGGAGGATATGTCTTTCCTCACCAGTGTCATCAGATAGGATGTCATCAGATGTGTTGTTGTTGTTGCGAAGATTCACCAGTACAGCATTGCACTACCACAGGAACACAACGCTAGGAATTTTATGGGATCATTTTTGAACTCCAGGGAAGTGTTTTGCTCAAAAGATCCAATTTAAGAACTTTGCTGGTGATGCCTGTTCACTGTTCCCCCATTTCCCCCCCATAACAACAACACTTTGAGGGAGTATAGGTTGGGCTAAGAGAGAACGCCTGGCCCAAAGTCACCCAGTAGGTTTCCATAGATGAGGGTGGATTAGAACCAAGGTATCCCTACATCTATAAAGTGTCTCTGCTTTAGAATTGCATTAACTTCTCTGAGTAGATTCCTTGAAACAATGGCCTCTTCCTTTCAGGGACAGCCCCAGTATAGATATTAACAGCATACGCTGCTTGCTCTTGTATTCAAATATTGGATGTGTTCCACATTTCATTTTCAGTGCAATTCTACTCAGAAGAAAGCCCATTTAAATTCAGTGAGATTTACTCCCAAGTAAATAGGAGTCATTGAGTATGTGTGTAGAGTTACTATAGCTAAATAAATAATGTGAAGACAAACAAAAACCAGATATTTTTTCATATTTCAAACAAAACAGGGTATCTATCTCACATTTTATTCCTGAGTGTTATGAAACAACTAAATGGCATTATCTCTAGATTAAAATACATAGCATCCAAGCATTAGGAGACAAGAGAGTGACTCAATGTGCAGCCTTTCGGCTTGCCTTTAATTTCACCACTGCTATGCTCCAAAAAAGACAGTTGAGTCATGGTCACTGACTCAGGCCCTAAGTATCTTAAAAGAAAGAAAGAAATATATATGTGACAGGAACTCCAAAGAGCATGACACAACATTCAGTAAAACTAGATGACTTCCACGTACACTTTTTGCTTCAGATGAACTCCTGATATAGTGACTTTACCTAACCCTCAACTATCTTGGAGGCATATAACCATCTTTTACATTCTCCTTCCACTTCCTTTTGAATGTTCCTCTCATTTTGAAGTTTCCTTTGGGGAAGTCAAATGTGATTGTGATGGACTTTCTTGACAATTTTCCATTCCCTTATAAATTAAGTTTGATAACAATGTGGTCACTATTTCCAAGTGTTTCAGTAACACTTCTGTCTTGCTCTAAGTCCTGGATCAACATCATTTAAGATTAAATCATGGTTATCTCTTGTGCTCTGGTCATCTCCATTGTCTTTTTAGATAGTCATTTGGGATATCTAGAAATTATGTCTCTTTGCTGTGTGGCTAGACCACATTTATTACCAAACATTCTGAAATAAATAGCACATTTACAGCTGATTATGAAAAGTAGAAAAAGATTGACACATAGCTTCTGTTAAGAGTGTAGGGAGGAGAAGAAGAAATGTCTTTAAGATTGCTCCCTTTTATCTTGACAATTTACAGATTGAACCATTTTTCATAGCATCTGAATACCATAGCAAAATGCAAAGAGGTATATTGGCATATATTATTTATAATAGTCCAATGATAGTTAAATACAGTAATACCTCAGTTCATGAACGCTTCTGTTCACGAACAATTCGGTTTGCGAACAGCAGCGTTCGCAACATTTTGCTTCCGTTCGTGAACTCTGCATCGGGTGATGAACACGACCCGCAGCCATCTTCCCTGCTCTGACACGTGGTCGTGGCTCCCTCTAGGTGAGATCGCAGTTGCAGACACATACTTGCTGTGAAGCTTTTTGGTGTTGCCTCAAGCAAGGTTAGTGTTCTCTCTCTTCATACT